ATATTAAAAAAAAAAAAAAAACCCTCTACCCGAATTCCTGGTGAATTCTTCTTCCAGTTTGGCTGCCTTACCATTGGTCACCAGTCCTTTTTATCTCTTCCTTCCCTACAATGCCTTCTAAAGGTTTTATTATAGACCTATTTAATTCATCATCGTTGTTGTTGCTGTTGATTTTATTATTACAAAGCCTGAGAGGGCTTAACATGTTATTAAACACCTTTCACAGGCATCAGTATTCTCCGTAAGTACTAAACAAATAATCTAAAACTTCATATAGCAAGACAAATGGAATTTTTTAAAAGTAATTTGCTGAATTGTTGCAAGAGAACTGCCTGCCACATGAAGGCTTCTGGCTTGGCACCAGATGCACCAAAGTCCTGGATACTTTGTAATGCATTGATGGTCTGAGGACCAAAAATCCCAAGACCCAAACCTGAGCTAAACCTTACAGGTGGGAGGAAACCTTGACAATGGAGAGTCTGTGAAAACTGATCATTTTAAAACCATCGTAACTGCTAGAGGAACCCAAATAACTGCCTAAATAAAGGCAGGGCATGAAGCCATCCATTGCACAGCTGTCCTCTGGCTAGCTATGATGTAGTAGATGAATTGAGAATGATCACTTCACAGGCAAAGCACTGCACCACTCCTTCAGACAGAGCAGGTACTAAAATTTGGCTATGACTACAAGTTTCCATATCTTCGAATTTTGTGGAGGTTGAATGGTAGGTAGATGTGATACTTACTGATACCCTAATGTAAGTAAATAAAATATAAAACCAAACCTCTTGATTTTACTCACCCCTCTTCTTTCTTTAAATTGTCATAAGCTGGCCCATGGGCCAGTCTAGTACCTGCCACTTCTGCCCTTGAAATAGCTGTTGCTACTCAATATTAGTGAAGCTGCAGCATAAGGAATTGTGTTACGTAAACTAATGCAGGACCAAGGTCATCAGTGACTTGCTCCTTGTCCTGCTGGCTCCTGTAGTCTAGCAGAGAAGGGTATTTTAATGGGCATCATGATGGAGCCTGGTGGTGGGAATTCCACCAGATTTTACTGTCTAGAGCGAACACCTTCAGCAGCATAAAAAGGCTGATCTCTCTTTCAAATGCAATTGTCTCTAGCCACCAGATTTCCTCTAGGTATATTTAGCACTTTGACCTATAGAGGCCAGGTTTCTACCTTCCTCCCTCCCTTTCCCCTTGGGAGGCAACAGTGAGTTTAGAAGATTAATATGACCCAAGTACCTACTGGCCTTTTTCTGCTTTTGAAATCCATTTACAGCTGACCTCGTGATTCTAGGGACATTTGGAATCATAGGTTGATTTTTCTAGTATATTGTACTTATGTGGAAGGAAGGAATTATATTGTCCTGTAAAGTCCCACACTACAAGTAAGAATTGTGATTCTGGTCTGAAAGATCATTTACACTTCTGAGATCACTGCAGTGTGTGCCACAACCAAAGCGTTTAGCCATAGCGGCCACATCCACACGAGCGTGGACATTTGTTTTCCTGGGGATAAGTAGTGGCACACCTTGTGCTGCTGCTAGTTGTCCCTTGGGAACGCCTGTGCCATGTGCCGTCTGGCACGTGGCAGAGTAGGGGAGGCTGGGGCCAGCACTGGGGTGGCCCCAGGAGCCTTACCTGGGGTCCTGGGAGCCTCCTGGTGCTGCAGCAGCAGAGATCCTGCTGCTCAGAACCTGGCCGATTTTTAGTTGGAGCGTGGCTTCAGCTAGCCAGGCTTCAGTTTTGGGCGATTTGTGTGCTGCCCCCGCATGCACTGCTCTACATTTTTTGTGCAGGTTTTTCTTTTTTTGTTTTTTTGGGGGGAAGGGGGGGTTGACCCCTTGATCTCCAGGGGCCAAAATCCACCCCACAACACTCTTACCTTGCAGCGCAGAAAACAGCTGAATGTGCTGTGCGTGGTGCTGCAGATGTTTCTGCGCCACATACCGCACGCCCGTGCTTGTCTGGACGCAGCCGGTATTTCGTTACACGGATAAGTTAAATTAGGCCTCTGCTTTTATTTGAACTGATCTCCCATTGACGCTAGTTTCTTTTTATGCATTTTAATGGTGAAAGCCACACAACAACTTGCAGTAAAAGTGCACAATGTTTGGTACTTAGTTAGGCTAAACATCTGGAATATTTGTGTAAGAAGCATGATGTATAAAGACATTTGTCTCTGAGTGAATGGAGGCAAAGGCAAGCGTCAGTCTTAATCCTGTTACGCGATCAAAGCAGCACTGTCGCATGATCTTGGCTTTCCTCACAACTTGCTTCCATTTTCAGAGGCTGGAATTGGGTGAAGATATTTTTATTAATAGGCTTTATGGCTTAGGGAATGGGGTACTCCTAGCGTGCACATTCAAATCGGATCCAGGATGATACCTGAAAGCTATTTGATGGCAATTTGGCAGTCCTGAAGTGATGCCTGTCCTGTGACTCTATTACTGCTGGTACTTAACCAGAGTTTTTATTCATTGACGCATCTGTCATAATTGTTGGCATGCGGCAGAGGGGCCAAGGTCTAAATGGGACCTAGAGACTAAATTGCTTTCTGCCATTTAGATTGGTAGGCCGCCATATGAGCGTGCCTGCTGCCACTTCATGTAGGCAACAAAAGGGATTCCACCTCCTGTATTTCACAAGCAATAAACTGGCTTCAAACGTCTCCAGTTGTCATCCTCCCATCTTGCACGCTCTTTGGTTGTGTCTGGCATTCTTTGATGTGTTATACATGCTTTATATGTTTATTTAAAGAAGTCATTTCTTAAAGCAGGTCTACACTGCTGGGGAGACATTGACAAGCTAAACTCTTTCCCCAAGCTTGAGGAAGTGAAATTGTTAGGAATCCCTCTTCTACAGCCCTACACCACTGAGGAGCGCCGGAAGCTGGTAATAGCCAGGTCTGCTAGTTGTTTGATCTGCTCCATAAAATGCTGCACAATCCCAGGATTTGAGGCAAAACAATCACTATGTGGGAGCATGGAGGGAGGAGGAGAATGTGATGGGGATACTGTTCGCTTGTTACGGATTTACAGTCTACTTAGCTATATTAATTGGCTTTTCTGAGTAAGAGAGGAACACAGAAGTTGAAAGAGCTGAAACTTGCTTTTGGAGTTCCCAAGTCCCTTGGGTGTCTATGAGCACTACTCCAATGACTTCTGGAAAGACTTCTGTTGACTTTAAAGGTACTTGAATCGGGCCGTCAAATAATTTGGACTAGTCAGGATGCTCTTAAACCTCTAAATGATACGGTCCCATTATTACAATAGATATTTTTAGTCCCTATTTCAACAGATACAAGATCAACATTTTGGTTACTTCTAAGTTTAGATTTTTGTACTGGGATTTTTTTTCTTTTAACATGCATAACAGATTGGAAAGGGTCCACAGTCCTCATCTCTTGTGTTTTAAGGGACATGTAATGGCCTTCTGGCTAAGATCAGGTGGACTCTTTTTACCAAAATCAAAACTAGGGGTCTCTTCTCTTAGTGCTACTTTACCCCCGCCTTACCTGCACTTTTTCTGCACAAGGGAAAAGTGGACAAGGTGGGGGTGGGGAGAATTTTGTTTTCCAGTAGCTAAACCCACTTGAACACACTTTCAGTTTTAGGGGGAAACATTTTACACAAAACTTCTCT